ATTTTTAATACAATTTTAATTATCTTAATAAGAGAATTAGTGACCACAAGTATACGCGTGGAAGTGTGGAACACTCTTAACTCAACTCAAAAGATTAGAAAAGTAGGGTAGGTGATTAAAGGAAGGAAGGATGGAAGATGCCAATTTGGAAATTTTCGATTGAAATATACACTGAACCAATTGGTTTGATCTTAGAATTCAAAAAATCAGTGTGGAAAACGCTCAAGTTAACCTAAAAGAAATGGAAGACCATTGACTTGCTAAGATCAATTAAGACTGCAATTTATCGTGGGTAGACTATCTGTTTATATAAAAAATAATTAATATACATTTAATTCAACACGTTTTTTTAATATTTGTTTTGATTTAATGCGGATTCTATATATAAATAGATAACTTCGTGAACACCACAAAATCAAGAAAGAATCTAATACTTATTTCAACTTACGAATTGAATTAATCAACTTTGAAAATTTTAGTTTCTCTCTTAGAAACATTCATGCAACAGAAAACAAGACTTGGCCTTTGACTGATGAGAAGGAGCTTGGTAAATCCAAAACCCAAAAGAATGTCAATATTCAATAGATGATTTATCGAATTAAACCATGCTTACAATATGCACTAGTAATTTTGTCTTTTGTCCATATCATCATTTTATGATGATGTGGAATTTTCATTAACAAAATATTAGACAATTTTGTCAATTAATCGTGACGCCTCACTAAAATCTTACCGGGGGACTAAAAAAGTCAGAAAATAAACTTTAAAGGGGCTTTATTAAATACAAGATAGAAAAAGATCTTTTCTTCAAAGTAAAAGGATGAAAATGAGATTTTAACTATTATTGAAAAAGGAGTGCGTTATAAATGAAGAATCCATACATTGAACATTCCTCTATCACTCTGACTGTAACGGGCTTGGGCTACTTTTGGACAGTTGAAGCGGGGCAACTGATAATTTTGAGACCATAAAGATTGGGCCCCAAAACTCTGAATTCATAACGGTCCATGAAAATTGAGCTTGATTATTACATAGCCCACATCTCAACCAATATAGAACGAGCCTGGTCCAGTGGTTCTAAACTGTTAGTCCTGATCCATGCCCAACGTCTCAAAATTCTCATTTGTACTTGCCAGAAGGGGGTCTCGACCAATAAAGAACGCAAACCTTTACGTCCAATTTAAGCATTGGAGCATGTTTTTTGCCTCTGGCTGCTGTCTCTGAAATTGGGCCCACGAAGCTTAGCAGCACACTACTACTATGATGGCGAAAAGACCCCACGCCACGCCTGAGCCTGTTTTACCCACCCATTTCTTAATGCCCAATCCACAATAAATAGGCATCTGATCTCATTTGTGGAAACCAAAGCAGAGCAATTATGGCTAGAAGAGCAATTCTTGCCATTGTAGCTGCTTCCCCTCTCATCGTCTTATCCATTCTCTCTTCCCTTGTCATCACCGAAGCCTCCCGAAAGGATCATGACTTCGTCACAAGATTGGAGCCCGAGTCAATCG